AATATTTATTCTTCCATAAGTTTAACACCACTGAAAAATGTTTTTCTGCTAAATGTACAAGAAAACAAAACTGCTGCATTAGTGTTATTAACAACACTACCCAAACCCACTGTTTAGATTTTTCTCTCCATATTGCTACTTGCAGAGTGAATGTGTTCCTGCTTAAATGAAGAATTTATCTCAGGTTTCCCTTTTCTTAAGAAATAAAGGAAGAGAAGCATTGGTGTTTAAATCAATCAAGTCTTCAAGCAATGGTAAATTATAGAATCTGACACTAGCTTGAACTCATCAAAAAAACATCTCTGCTAGAAAGAGTAATTCCAGAGGAAACAGAAAAGGAGTACTTGTGGCACCTTAGAGACTAACCAAAGTGAGCTGCAGGTCACGAAAGCTTATGCTCAAATAAATTGGTTAGTCTCTAAGGTGCCACAAGTACTCCTTTTCTTTTTGCGAATACAGACTAACACGGCTGTTACTCTGAATCCAGAGGAAACCTCTCTCTGTTAAAGTTGTTTGGACATCACGAGGACTTACCATAAGAAACCTGGACAAAAACTGGATGAACTGACATATCCTAATAAAGATGGCCAGCATTGTGACAAATATGGCAATATCCTGCAATATCTTTGGGAGATCTTACCATATTAAGTTTGTGTATCATTGTGGGATGGGGATTGTTTGTAATTTCATTGGAGAAGGTATCAGGGGAAGAGCTGGCTCTCAGCCTGGTCACAAGGCAACCCAGCAAGCTCAACTGGGCCCTGTGAGCCCCTACCCCTACACTTCCTGATAGGGCAGGGGAGCCAGCAGGCTGCTATCTGAGCCTTGCAGCAACACTACTCCAGTGGCTGCTCAATATGTACCATGCCTGCAGCTGTGTTTATCCCGCTCTCACTACTGCTCCAAGCCCTGCTCTAGCTCAATTCTAGTTTCTGACTCCTGACTCAGACTCTTGGCTGACTTTGACTCCGTCTTACCCTTTAGCTTAAATGTGATTGCTGACTCCTGGCTCTGACCAGATGTCGGTTTACCCTTTGGCTTCAAACTCCAGTTCTGATTTTTGGCTTGGCCCCTCAACCGCAACTCCAGTGTCACCTTTGGACTGGAGTCTGAACCCTGGATCTTTGCCTGCCATTACTCAAACTACCACCATAACCACCAGGGTAGGTTTGGCTCCACCTGCAAGGTAGGCTGCCTATACCCTGGCAGATTACAGTAGGTGACCACAGCCCTCCAGGAACAAACAACAGTTGGGGCTGATTGGGGAAATCCAGTCAATTTGTAACACTTCTACAGAGGTACCACCATCGAGAGAGACTCACACAGAGTGGTTCAAACTGGATTCTCCAGAGACCAACAAAGAAAGGATTTTAGGGTAAATAACTTGAATTGAAACTGACACAGACCCTTCTTTCTGATCCAGCAAACACACAGGACACACTGTCCAAAGAGGTGCCCCACTCCTTAAGGACAGGTTTGAAGGACTGGCCACCTCCCAGACCCCTTGTTGGAGTTGGGGCAGTCTTCAGTAAGCTTATTAGCATGCATGAAGGATCTATCACTGTTCGTAATGTTTTCTCTGTAAATGTTTTATTTTAAGAATAAACTCGCTTGCTTAGAAAGAGCTGGGTAGTACCTTTATAACAGTAGGCAATTACACTGGTTATCGCCTTGGAGAAGAAAAGCAAAGGCCTGCTTAGGCAGTCTGACTTGCTGGGGCACTAATAGTAAAGCAGGGAATTGTGCAGCCTTGAAAAACCCCAGTCAGGAAAGAAAGAGATGCGGGTATCTGCCCAAAAAAGGTGATGGCAGGGAGAATGAAGCCTAAAAGTGTTGCCTTGCTCAACCAGGGAGGGAGAATACAGGTGCAGTAGTTCTGAACGGTGGCAAGTGTCCTTAGGAAACTATCCTAGTGCAGAAAAGCAGCGAGGTCTATTATCAGAGCATATATGAAGCTAGGAGTTAGGGCTTCTGGGCTTTATTCCTCAGCTCTTCTCATTGGCTTGCTCCGAGACCTATGGCAAGTCACTTAATTGCATTGTATCTCCATTTATTCATCTAGAAAAGGGGAACAGTAGCAGCATTTAACCTTAAGCCTGTCATGAGGCTTAATAACTCAGAGTTAGTCAGTTGTCCATATTCGCATTGAACAGTGACAACACCTGACTCCACCCACAACTGCAGTGCAATCAATGGGGCTATACTGGCAAAGTAAGGTATAGTTAACATCAGGATAACAACTTGGCCCCTAATGCTGTTTAAAAAACACAGATATTCAGTTAATATATACCACTTCTGAAATAGTCTTATGTGATACCGACACACAAGTCTGCCAATGGAATTTGGCACGTGAGATTTCAAGTCAAGTAAGAATACGTTATGGGAAGCCAGAATACAATATGTGAAGGACATAACCGACAAGCCTCAAAAGGAATTTATTGTAGCAGATTCTTGGCAGCATGAAATCCTTTGACATACCTGTTCATGTTTAAACCGAGTAACTAGCTGGAGTTCAGCTTCCTAATCTTTGACAACACAGGTTTTTCTGCAAGATTGAAAATGTATGGAAAGGTATATTCCCACCTTTCTTTAGAATTGGAAAGTCTGCCTCCTGCCACTAGGCATATGTGAACAGACAAGACACTCTGGCGGCATTGGAACCAGAAGGTCTTGGGTCATTGCAAAGTCCCTTCAAGGAAAGTATTTTTTTCTGTATATTTTGAATATTGAATTCATAAATCAAATGGGTGATCAAAATCAAATGAGAAAAAAAGTGTGCAATTTTACTTTTGGATATTCATAGCAGATATTGGTCCACTAACTATATTCTGTTACATTTGCACTGAACAGAATGATGGCCAATGAGTTTGTTAGCCCAGGACAGGGGTGGGCAAACTTTTTGGCCCGAGGGCCACATCTGGGAATAGAAATTGTATGGCAGGCCATGAATGCTCACAAAATTGGGGTTGGGGTGCAGGAGTGGGTGAAGGCTCTGGTTGGGGCTCCGGGGTGGGGCCAAAAAAGAGGAGTTCAGGATGTAGGAGGGGCTCCGGGCTGGGGCGAGGGCTCGGACTCCAGCTGGGGGTGCAGGCTCTGGGGTGGGGCTGGGAATGAGGAGTTTGGGGTGTAGGATGGTGCTTCAGGCTGGGATCGAGAGGTTCGGAGGGCGGGAGGGGGATCAGGCCTAGGGCAGGGGTGCGGTAAGGAGTGCAGGCTCTGGCTGAGAGTGCAGGCTCTCAAGTGTGGTGCAGGAGGGTGCTCTGGGCTGGGATCGATGGGTGCAGGAGGGGGATCAGGGCTGGGGCAGGAAGTTGTGGTGTGAGGGGGGAGAGGCTCAGGGGTGCAGGAAGCCCTTAGCTCAGGCAGCTCCCGGAAGCAGCAGCATGTCCTATCTCTGGTTCCTACGAGAGGCGTGGCTTGGTGGCTCTGCACACTGCCCTGTCCGCAGGCACTGCCCCCATTGGCTGTGGTTCCCAGCCAATGGGAGCAGCACTTGGGGCAGGGGCAGCATGCAGAGCGGAGGCCCCTGGCTGCCTCTACTTCTGGGAGCTGCATGGAGCGGCCCCAGACCCTGCTCCCCCCTTGGAGCTCGAGGGCCGGATTAAAACAGCTGGCGGGCCAAAGTTTGCTCACCCCTGGTCTATAGTATGTGTCTCTCACATTTTAAATTACGCAAGGTCCAGGCCTGTGTAGTATGTTAACATTTGAGACTACAAATTAAAGATTTATTACACATCCACAGACAGTCACATGTCTAAAATCCAGCAACCTTGTAAAATGGAAAAAATATTAACTGCCGAAGTGTCCTGATACATGAATTCTTTGCTTCAGGAGAAACAAAGAAGAGCCACAGATGCAGCCTTACATTATGTTAGTTATCAATTTACAATTCAACTGAACTTTAATTAATTCCACAAGATACTTCATGTTTTCTATTAAGGTAGGGTATTAATGCATATGTGATGCCAGGGGCAGGAATAAAGGAGGCCTGTAGTGATTTCTGATAGAGAGCACTGCATTTCACACACACACCCAAAACTGGAGGATGTGAATTCTCCCTCTCTCTCAGGAATGTCAATCAGCACTAACCCCACTTTCATTGCCAAAAGCTTTGGCTATGGGCAGAAAAGTAAACTCAGGAGAATCATATTAGGAACAGTCAGAAGTGACTTGTTTAATTTAACTGGATTTGATTAATATATAAACATTTTGATATCAGAGAGAAATACTTGCTTGTCCCAAGTATGTAATTCTAACAACAGCTATATTGTTGTAGAAACAGAGCCAAATTCACCATCATACAAGTGGATGCAGCTCAGGCTCACCACATCAGGAGCTGCACGTTTACTCCAGCCCTCAGTAAAACCCATGAATTTTTTTCAGGAGTAGAAATAGAATTGGTTATGATTCTGAGTACAGGTGGGGTGGGGGGTTCCCAACTTTGCCAAGTGTATTTGGGAGCGGGCATGCAACAAGAGACAGCAGCTCCAGGGATATGACGCAGGGGACAGACAAGCCCAGGGGAGAAGAGATACATAAAGGGGCAGCAAACGAGCTGAGTATGCAGGAGCTGGGGGAGCGGGAACTCAGCAGGTGACGAGTCCTGGAGCGTGAAGCCGGTGGCAAAGCGCCTCCCAACGGGGGGCGGCAGGAGGAGACTAGCTGGTGCCAGACCCCCCGGGCGCGATCTGGGGCTCAGAGGGTGGCCGCTGGACTGGGGGAGGGGGTGACAGGGGCAGAGCCCCCCCAGGCTGCGGCAGGCAGGTGGCTCGAGGTGAAGGCAGAAGGGAGCAATAGGGAGTTTAATCCCCGAGGGTGGGGTGCCCAGTCTGGGGGCAGGGAGGGAGGAAGGGGTGGAGGGGGGGCGTGTCCCGAGGTGTAGGAGGGGCTGGACTGTGGGGCGGAAGGGAGGCGGCAGACAGAACTGGGGGGTCCGGGGGGGGGTTAGGGGAGTCATGTCCCGGGGGGGGGGTGCTGGAGGGGGTGGGGCGGCTCTTTACCTCTCCAGCGCCCGCACCGTGTAGCTGATGAGCGGCCTGCCCAGCAGGGCACAAAACTGCTTCGGGGTGGCGCCCCCAAGGCGCTCCCCGCTCCCGCCCGCTGGCAGCACCGCGGCCACCGAGGCTCCGCCGCTCAAGACATTCCCTGGCTCCATCACGGGCCTAGGCCTCGAGCGTCCGCTCCCGAGCTCCAGCGGGAGTCCCCCAGACCCGGGGCCCGGCGGGGGCGCAGAGAGCGGGAGCAGGGCAAGCGGCCGATTCCCTCGCCCACCCGCGTCGCTTATCTCCCCTGCAACGTCCGCGATCCAGAGAATCCAGCCTCCCCCCCGGGACTGGCCCTACTCGCCCAGGCTGAGTGGGCGGCCGCTCCCCGCATGGGCCTAGCGCGTCACTCCCGCCTGCCCTGGAGTGGCCGGCTCCCTGCCCTGCAAGCGGATGAGACCCTGGGGGCAGCCCGGCAGCTGCCCTTTAGATCCCCGAAGGCGCGGGGGAAGGGGAGGGGCGCAGAGAAGGCTTCCGCAATGCGCTTGCGCAGTCCGGCTGCACGCGGGCGGTGTCGCTCTTTGCCGCTTGTCCCCGCATGTGGAGCGGGGCTGGCGGTGCGGCCCCAGCTCCCCGACTCCCGCAGCCGCCCCCTGCCAAGCCGCGGAGCCGCTGTGTGCAGCTCCCCATCCCCTGAGGTCCACGCTGGCCTGTCCCTGCGTGTAATTGAGTGCAGGCCCAGGGCTAGTGTAATCCTTGGCGCCCGACTGGGGCCTGAAGAGGCCAGCGTGCAGCAGTGCCTGGCCCCTGGCCCCCGGCCCCCGCGGGCTACTAGTCCTGTGCCGGGTGGTGAGTTGCTGGCCTGGTTTTGCAGTTACGAAGCGGGGCAGGTCCGATCTGAGCCACAAGTACAAGATAGTGGAGAATTCGCCCCAGCCAACTGGTTCTAGCCCACTGTGGTGATAGATGCCCTAGAAAAGCATGTCCCAGTGCTTAGCTCATTTTTTCATCTTCAGATAGGGTTGCCAGGTGTCCAGTTTTTGACTGAAACGCACGGTCGAAAAGGGTCCGTGGCGGCTCCAGTCAGCACTGCTGACTAGGCCACTAAAAGTCCGATGGGCAGCGCAGTGGGGCTAACGCAGGCTCCCTGGCTCTGCACGGCTCCCGGAAGCAACTGGCATATCTGGCTCCTTGTCACAGGAGTGGCCATGGATGCTCCACTCACTGCTTCCACCCCCAAGCAGCAGCTCCGCAGCTCCCATTGGCCAGGAACCGCAACCAATGGGAACTGTGCAGGCAGTGCCTGCCTGCAAGGGGTGGTGTCTGCTGGCGTGGGCATTACACAGAGCCCCTTGGCCACTCCACCTAGGAGCCAGACATGCTGGCCGCTTCTGGGAGCCACTTGAGGTAAGCACTGCCCAGCTAGTGCCACACCCTGAACCCCCTCCCATACCCAACCCTCTGCCCGAGGTCAGAACTCTCTCTCACACCCTAACTTCCTCCCAGAGCTGGCATCCCACCCCCCAAGCCCTGAGCCCCTTCCTGCACCCCAAACCCTTCATCCCTGTCCCCACCCCAGACCCACACCCCCAGCCGGGAGCCTGCACCTCCTCCCACACCCTGAACCTCTTGGCCCCAGCCCAGAGCCCCCTCCTGCACCCTGAACCCCTCATCCCGGAGCCCGCACCCCCTCCCAACCTCTGGCCCCAGCCTGGTGAAACTGAGTGAGGGTGGGGGACAGCGAGCAACGGGGGGGGGGGGGATGGAGTGAGCCAGGGGATGGGCCTCTGGGAGGGGGTGTTCAGTTTTGTGCGATTAGAAAGTTGGCAACCCTATCTTCAAAGCACTTTTTAACTATAGTCTTCACAGCATTCAGCATGGTAAGATGTGGCATTTCTTTATCTAACACACTTGTCTCAGTTACGTGATTCAGCATTTATGAAACAAATAATTTACTCTTTGTAAAAGGATGAAACCTGGTTCTTTGAGACCTGTCATTTAGATCCAAATTTCCCAGCATAAATGGAGCAGAAGGAAGGACTTAAAATTGCCCTGCTAACTGGAAAGTCAGCCATTGATACCCTCTATGGCAGGGTGGGAAAACTTACTGACCTTCTCAGCCGCATATAACAGTTTTCAGAAGTTCAAGAGCAAGGGCATGCCTGCTAGAGCTTGGGGCTTCAGCCCCCAAGGGGCACCTGCCAGGGCTCAAGACTTCTGTCCTGCTATTGCTGAAGCCCCAAGCCCGAGCAGGAGTGCCCTACAGGGATGAAGCCCTGAGATCCTCCTTGCCACTGGGCAGAAACCCCTACCCCACCACCCCACTGCAAGGCAGAGGTCCCAACCTCACCCCCGCGCCACCCCAGTCTGATAGGTGGGGGGGCCTCCGTGAGCCACACTTTAACTAAAAGAGCTGCATGCGACTCATGAGCCACAATTTGGCTGCCCCTGCTCTATGGTTTGGAGAACAGACTGAATTTGGCAGCACTGCATACTAATGTGAACAGAGGCTTACTACAGTGGGAGAAAGAATATCACTTTTAGCACCCCGTTTTAGTCCACAAAAGTATTGGTTCATTCCCACTGACCCCAGGAGAGAGATGCTCGAAGAGCAGCCATTGCATGAAGATACAATAGTAGCTGATACAGTTTATCCTTATGAATTTATAGGACCATGTTCTGGCTTCCATGAGGTTACATGAGGAAAAGTGAATGAAGTAAAGGAGAGCTGGTCCATATGTAAATGTTGCATCTGGGTAATAGACAAAATGCAGCATAAATTGATGTGCATAATTTCTTTACTCAAACTCCCTGCCGTGCAGTCTAAGTGGCTTTAAATCCGTGTGGATTCGAGTTAAATCATGATTTAAATCACTAGTTAGGAAGATTCGATTTAATCATGGATTTCTACATAAAAGTGCATTCTTGTTGGTTGTTATGACCTTAATACATATTCTTCACAATTCAGAGATAGATATAGGTTTCATTTTTAGAACATACACACTATACATTTTTAAAGTGATTTATTTTGAAAACTTTTCAGATCAGTTTTACAGCTATATCAGAAAATGAATGATTGTTTATTTCATTTACCAAAGGTAATTGAAGCAGATATTTATGAAGTCATTGAGAGGTGAACTGTCTCCAGTTCAACAGGTTAATCATTAATATTTGGAAGATTTTCTTGCCATGCTGTATTAGAATGAGAACATCACCAGGCAGACATTTAAATTGTTTTATTTAACTAAATCAGCGTTTTGTATTCTGGATTTTTTTCTTTAACAGCAAACATATAATAATTAAACAAAACAAGCATATGAATTTTTGAATTTAAACATTTAAGTTTTATAAAATCAGGTTTGCTTTTGTTAAAATTGTTTTTAACTAAAATAGTTAAATGACAAAAAAACCCCAGAAAAATTAAATCGACTATGTCAGCCAGGTCAACATGAGGAACTTGAAATATTGACTTCTGTAGCTAACTCAGTCGTCTTCACCTTCATTTTCCTGTTTGTTCGTAATCTGGAAAAGAAAAAAACAAGCTTTCCTGCTTTTTCAGGCCCCAAACGATTTCTCAGTTTGGAATGATTTAGTCCAAAGGAAGAAAATATTCTTTCTACATCGGCAGAAGAAGCTACCACTGTTAAAAGTGAGATTATCACTTCAACGGTCTCTGAATCCAAATGCTTAAGTGACTTCCACCAGTTCACTGGGGTGACTTTCTTTAAAACATCAGCAGCAAACGTATATTTCTTGACTGGTTCACCCTTAGCTCTGAAGTTTATTGTAGTTGGCATTATGGAGGGATGATTGTCCATGTCATAGCCAACTCCTCTTCTTCAGCAGTTAAAGTTTGACCCTGGTAACAAGTATTGAGAATATTTGCAAGAAAATGAGCTGGAGATAGTGCTTGTCCCATTCGGTTTTTTAATGCTTGTAATTTAACGCTGTCATTGCATATTTCTCTTTTTAAAATCTCACTTGGTTCCTTGCAAAATTCAACAGCATCAGCAGTAAAACCGCTATTTCCCTGCATTTTGTTCAAGGCGACAGAAATAGGCTTCAGGGTACTCAGCATGTGTTCAACGTTTCTCTTAAGCCCAATATTGAGAACTTTGACTGTGACAGCGCCATCTATTTTTTCCACGATTATGTTCACAAACTGTCATCAGATTAGGCCAGTTCTTGATATAGTGTTCAAACCAGTCCACTACTGAGCTCCATCACACGTCTTGGGGGAGAATTAGCTTGGTTCCTCCCACTTTGTTCAGAGAGCTGCTGAAAAGTGGTTGTTACGGAAGTATTTTGCAATTTCAACAACATTAGCCTTTATTTCTGGAACACTGAAGTCTTTGGCTAGGAGGTGCATCAAATGAGCATTGCAACTGTATGTCATTAGTGTGGGACTCTCTTCTAAATAATTTCTTCTCATCTTGGATACATTTGCAGCATAGTCTGTGACCAAGCTGCATACTAGACATTTGCATTTTTTTCACAGTTTGTACTAGCTTTTACTGCTACTTCTTGTAAGTATTCTGCTGTGTGTGCATTTCCTGATGTATCAGTTGTTTCTGTAAGGAAGCCATTCCCTTCTTCTGTTGTCACACAAGCACATACAACAGGCTGATTGTGGACATTACTCCACCCATCAAGACTCAGGTTAACAATTTAATGCTCTACAGCTTTTGCATACTGCTCAATTTCTCTTTCATACACTTTATCCAGCAATTTGCCTGCGACATCTGCTCTGTTGGGTGGACTGTATCCTGGTCTTAGTGACTGAACCAAGTTAATGAAGTGTGGGTTCTCAGTCATACGGAAGGGAGAGTTTGTTGTATAAAGAAACAGGGCAATTTTTTCGACAATTACCTCTTTTTGTAATTTGCTGGGTTTTATTACAAACTTATCTATGGCTGTTTCTGGATGATGGAGGCTTTTTTTTTTTCTTTTTGCTGCAGGTGATAAACTGTGGCTATGTGACATACATGATGTGACTGAAACACTATCATTGGCAGATAACTCTGAAACTATAAAAGATGATGGTGATCTTGAAGGTGGATAGTCTTCAGAATCTTCAAATTGGAGGATTGGGCCAAAAGAAATCTGATGAGGTTCAATAAGGATAAGTGCAGGGTCCTGCACTTAGGACGGAAGAACCCAATGCACCGCTACAGACTAGGGACCGAATGGCTAGGCAGCAGTTCTGCAGAAAAGGACCTAGGGGTGACAGTGGACGAGAAGCTGGATATGAGTCAGCAGTGTGCCCTTGTTGCCAAGAAGGCCAATGGCATTTTGGGATGTATAAGTAGGGGCATAGCGAGCAGATCGAGGGACGTGATCGTTCCCCTCTATTCGACATTGGTGAGGCCTCATCTGGAGTACTGTGTCCAGTTTTGGGCCCCACACTTCAAGGAGGATGTGGATAAATTGGAGAGAGTCCAGCGAAGGGCAACAAAAATGATTAGGGGTCTGGAACACATGAGTTATGAGGAGAGGCTGAGGGAGCTGGGATTGTTTAGCCTGCAGAAGAGAAGAATGAGGGGGGATTTGATAGCTGCTTTCAACTACCTGAAAGGGGGTTCCAAAGAGGATGGCTCTAGACTGTTCTCAATGGTAGCAGATGACAGAACGAGGAGTAATGGTCTCAAGCTGCAGTGGGGGAGGTTTAGATTGGATATTAGGAAAAACTTTTTCACTAAGAGGGTGGTGAAACACTGGAATGCGTTACCTAGGGAGGTGGTAGAATCTCCTTCC